AGAGGAGATTAAAGATGGGTATTGATTATTTCAGTTTTGGTACAAGTCTTAGCTAAATTGGTCATGATACTTATAAGGTTATCTGAATAGTTATTTACTTATGGCTATAGCACATCCATGCATGCATTCATGCATGGATACATACATACATACATACATACATACATACATACATACATACATACATACATACATACATACATACATACATACATACATACATACATACATACATACATACATACATACATACATACATACATACATACATACATTCATACATACATACATACATACATACATACACACACACAAACATACATACATACATACATACATACATACATACATACATACATACATACATACATACATACATACATACATGCATGCATGCATGCATGCATGCATACATGCATGCATGCATGCATGCATGCATGCATGCATGCATGCATGCATACATACATACATACATACATACATACATACATACATACATACATACATACATACATACATACATACATACATACATACATACATACATACATACATACATACATACATTTCTTTCAAATTTTTAAAGAGTCATGTTTCTACTTGTTATCATCTTGAGCTTAATGCACCTTCCTGCTCGTTTCATTTATCTTTTAGGAGCTCTCTCTGTTCCCACATGTAATACTAAGGAAATGGCTACAAGAAGGAGATGACGATGAAGAAGATGGAGAGAAAGTGGATTCTGATGAAAGCAATGACAATAAATGACAGTTCTGGTCCATATTGACATTTACGTTAGTATAGCTTTGGGTGCTTTGAAAATTAGGAAGATAACTAATCACTTCACTACTCATATCATTGTGTTTTTATTTTCCTTTCAGAGTGAACATTAAAAATCAGATTTAAAAGTGACTAGACCAGTTGGACTGGAAATCTTTTGAGCATAATTTAAAAGTGACTAATGCACTTTGGAATTATTGTAATGTAAATTTCTAATTACAACGATAATAATGGTTTCGATTGCTGTTGCATTGAATAAAAGAAAATATTGTGAGCTACAACAAAAACAACTGCGGCGCCTAATATTCAATTACTCTACTTTAAAATCCCCGACATGCGCAATCAAAATTGTTCGACATCGTACAATTACTGCAGATAGTTTCCTTAATATGCTACAATGTCGGCAACATTTTACAGATTGAGCGATTTCGGAAGAACAACAGATTAGCTTTATGCTAATGATTACATATTTGTTTATGTTTTCAGAATCATCGAATATAGTTCTTTAGACCAACTTGCTAAAGCAAACTTTAACACAAAATGAGAATAGAAAAATACAGGATTCATCAGAAAAAATAGGAAAAACTTTATTAGTAAATATTATATTAAGTCCACTTTATGCAACTACCATAAACGTTAGGAGCCAGTCTTCGACTTGATTAAATTAGGCAACTTTCTGTGTTATGCATGCGTAGTTTTGGTAGAATCCCAAGACAAACCAAACTCGAATATATTATTTCACAACGTAAATGAATTATTAGTCCACACATACGAAGATTCATTTCATTTTAAAAATGATTTTAAAGTTTCCAGAAGATTCAAACTAAGACTCGATTACAAATTTAATATATTACTGAACCATGCTACCCAATGGAATGTTATCCAAATTTGTGTAGATGATGTATGTGCTTCGTTCAGTTTATCCAATAAATCATTTGAGATATGCGAATTTGATATTCTTCCCCACAAGTCAAGAACGTCCAGTAATAATACCGTCAAGTCTTGTAATGAGTGGTCCAGTAATGTGTGAAAATAACAGCATAGAGACTGAATAAGTGTCGTCCAGCAGTTTTTGATATTATCTTTGTGTCTCTCGGTTCTAGTGATCTTGCGGAAGGTAAGCGTGCAAAGCATTCCCTTAATTTCATTAATCACGTGGTAGACATGGTTCTTTCCGTGTGGTGATTGGCCAAGATCAGCATATTACTTCTCTATTTTTGCTTATTTTATTAATTTATTTAGCTTTGATGTGTCCTGCATTTCATGTCTGTGTTTCAGGATGATGGTGGAAATATCTGCATATAATGTTCCTGGAACATAAACAATTAAATGTGAAATCCTCAAATTCTTGGGGATTGTCTTTTTCTTAGTAGTGACGTTTTTAATTGTCTTTTATGCATCATGTCAAAAAGTTGGCGACATCCTTACTAAAGATGTAAATCTTATTTTTAATAACAATGGCTTGGATGTGACAATATTATTGATTTCCAAGCTATTTCCTTATTACGACTGGTCTAATAGCTTTTTAACTTTGATTTTTAATGTCCTTCAATAAGTCATGTTAACAAAGCTTCCTATACAAATTCTTCATCCAGTTTATTTTATTGATTTAGAAGTACCATAACAAATACAAAGTTAGTGGAGGCTCCGGTGACCTAAGTGGTTACAGCGTCCGCTTTGGATGCGGGAGGTCGTGGGTTCGAGCTGCGACCGACCCATGCCAAAGACTTATAAAAATGGTACTAGCAGCTGCCTTGCTTGGCACTCAGCATTAATAGTTTAGTGTTATGATTGGTTGGCCTGGTGTCAGGATAATATGACTAGGTGGGTCATATTGCTATATGTATGCGGCATGATGCCCCATTACTAGACATCCTAATAAACTGCCACACTACAGACATTGTAGCGATATGACTGGAAAAATGTTAAAGCTAAAGTTAAAAATCCAAATCTCATCTCACAAACTTAGAAAACGAATTAATATCCTTCATTTTTTTCTGAAAGCGTGATAAACAGTGTGATTTATGTGGCTACTTGTCAGCTGACGATGATTTCGTTTGGTTGTACTTCAAGGTCGGCCTTGATTATGTAGAAATCTTGGTTTTCCTTCAGTTGAAAGGAAACATTACAAGCAAATAAACTGATTTTATGAACTGTTTATGATAAGTCTATGATATATTCGAGAATTTCGTATCGACAAACTGATTGCCGTAAATTCAAAGCATGTAGAGGTTTTAGTGTTGACCACTGTTAAATCTAAAACATGCAGAGAATGTCCTACTGATTGAGGATTTTTTATTAACACAGTTGTAAGTAAACATTTAGTTTTCTATCTGCAATCTATAGCTGTTCTAATTCAAATGATACCACCAAAATGTAAGCACCTCACCTGTCAAGCGACAATTGTCTGTAACCATGACATTTTTGAGTCCGTTACGGATACGCGACAAGATGACAGGTGAATGGAAGCTTTGATAGCTGAAATAAAGTATGAATTTAATTTGATTAAAATAGCTTTTCTTTGGATATTGTACACGTCTTAGCAGTACCACCAATAAAAATCAATTTGCAACATATGGCTCCCATCCCTGTGTGACTCTTCGGGCATGTCAAGCCTCACCCAGACCAAATGAATCAAAAAGATGTATGGGTGAACAGTGGATGATTTATTCAGGATCCAACATGTAGATCCTTTTAGCTAGCTTTTTCTACAAACCTTTTCATACTGCATGTTGCGGTTGAGTCACATTATATTGTGCTGCTTGTCAAGATTTCAAAATGTACGTTTGCCATAGGTGACACGATGGTTACAAGAACAATCGATGTACACGTTACACAAACGCATTCGATAAAATTTTTCCAAAAGTCAAACGGAAGTGGATGGCATCTATCATGAATTTTAAACATATTTAGCTGATGTCTCCCATTTGGGAGCGTACAATCGTGTTTTGTGACATAAACATATTTTCAAATTCATTTAGGGTACTTTCTATGACTGCCAAAACAGGTTTGAGTTAGTATCAGCTTTAAAACTGGTTTGTAAAGAAAGCGGTTCTCGTGCTCTACTATAGAAAACAGACGAAGGCACCGAATGTCTTAACGAAGCTTGTACCAAGAAATTGAAAACAAAGTTATATTTTTTTCTCCACCGACAATCCAGATAGGAAAGCCAGTGTCGGGAAACGTCTTGAAAGAGTTTATACAATAACGTATGTTGAAATATTTTACAAATACACAAGCTCATAAAGACTTCCAAAAATGACGTGGTGATTTTCATCGATTGGTTTTAAGGTCTATTACTGCCAACAAGACATTCGAAAGTCAGCAGAATAGTTTTTTTATTGGAGAAGTGAAACAAACATTTGAGAATGGTTAATGAACGTAACTTGACAACGTAAATGTCAATGTAAATGTTTTATGTCACTGGACGAGTACATGGTCATGATCATTGCGTCTGATAAGTGGAAAAATTAGCGATGAAATGTTAGAACCAGATACCAAAATGAACAGCTGCAGCTCGAAGAAGTGAAAGTGCCTTGTAAACTATGTCCACCTAGTTTTGATACTTAGACTGTTGCTATAAAAGTATGTAACCATCATGCCATTAAAAACATTAGCTAGCACATAATTTTCTCTTCCGGAACTATAAAAAGCAAGCCATGTGGGTTTGTCTTGAGGACATAATCCTGCAACCCAAATCGAGTTTTGTTGCTATATCGTAGTGGTGTGTTGTGACATGCTAGCAGCCATCCATAATTTGGGTTTCTAACAAGGAGACAAAGAATTGTGGTCCGTTTTGCTCAGTTGTTTATTACGTATATTCTTTTCAATCGTTCCCTGAAATGATCAGAGGGCAGTAACAACTGTAGCCTTGCAAATAATGTCATTACAAGAGCAACAGCAGCAACAGACCTCTTTCAGATGGGTTAAAAATCATTCACCTTTGATATCGAGTGAGTGCTCGGAAACCAGAACAATGGTGTTATGAATAATCAACTTCAGCGACAGGTTTTATAGATCAGTTTCCCAACAACACCTTTTGACGTATCGTGGCCTAAACACCCCAGGCTATACAATAAGGTCAAGAAGCTTGAGTAGAAATCATTCATCCCATGTAAGTTATGGATATCAATACAAATTAAAACACTTCAAGACAGAAGTAAGTGGAAGACTATTTTGAATTTCTTTCTTTAATAATTTATTGGCCTCCATCGAATTTTATTTTTGGTTCTTTGAAAAGCAAAATGTCTATAACATTTTCATTTTTTGTTACTCTGTTAAGCAAATTAGTATTTTGAAAATATTCTTCATGGTCCATTTTTAAATAATTTCAAGCATATTTGGTAGCTTCTGGTTATCCAGGTGACTAATATAAGCTCATCTATATGCAAATATTTCTGCTTGCTCCATAGTATATGGAAGTGCCTTTAAAAGAAAAATCGTAACGTAATCGTACTTAGCAAAATCATAAATTTCAAATCGTTCCTTTTATCATTTCGGCCTTTATTCAGCCCCGTCCATCAAATATTTCTGGTTTGGGAATTTAGTGTTTTTAGAACTTCAACTTCAGAAATAGGAGTTTGAAAAATTATTCGCAGTTTCAGTTATATAATCAGAATTGCAATTAATCTCTGAGTCATTATTATTCCGTAAGGATTTGAAATATCATTGCAATTGACGACACAAAATCGTGCTATTACTGCATGCCTTGGGTACACGTGTTTGTTGTATTAATTTCGAGAACATCGAAGTATATGACCTTGTATTTATTAACTATTCTTTTTACGATAATTATTCTTTTTGTCACGTGGATCAAATTTTGCAAACTATTTATAATTTTTTTGCATCAGTCAAAGATTTGATAGAACAGCAAAATCTAACTTTATGTGGATAATACATTTTTGTCTTTTAAACAGATTACATTATTGATTCGGTTTGTTTTTGTCATATTGTAACTTGGGATTTTGTCTGATTTTACTCATCGTTGAATTGTAATGTAGTTATATATATATATATATATTTTTAAACATAAAATTCTACTCCGTTAATCATAAACCTTTTAGCTTCACCTTTTTTCCTGTTCTTGTATACATTATACAAAGCAAACGTGCAAACCTAAACTTAAATTCGGTCATACATTTTCATTGTATTCCGAATTAGAGCACTCTACCACCGAATGTATACTATTTAAAAGAGGCTAATAAAGTCACGATTTTTAATGATCAAATATATTAACATTGCTTGAAAACTGTCTATATAATATTATCATATATTTATATTATTGACTTTTCTCAGTTACACATTTTATCAGTTGAGTCATTGAAATTGAAACTATAAAATTCCTGCTATAAGAGTTCCACATATATAATTATCATTTTGTTATAGCTATTATACTCCCTGAAGCTGGGTTTGGATATCTTGGAAAGTGATATTGAAAGAGGAGAAAATGTCGAGACAAATATTCTCATGTTCTTGTTATGTTACATAAACTACTATGTTTAAACAAACAGAACCATATTGAGTCCAGGAAATACAATTTTTTTTATTGATCTCCACCCTGTGTCGTCTGCTGTTATCTCTGCCAACAGTATTATTTCGAACCTCCCTTTTAGCAATAATTCTGCAATATTATTTTCAAATCTGTCAAAGTAAACAATGACATTGGAAAAGGAGCAAGATGATGACGTAACATTCAATCTACTAGTGTGTGCGTCAATTGAAAAGTTTGACAGAGGCATAACTAAGAAATGTGTTAAGTTATATCTGTCCAAAATGTGGCAGTTAGTGAAGACAGATTTGTATACCATGGACGTGATATACTGAAATTTATAGAACGCAAGCAGGTGGCATATCCTGTAAGAAACGCATTCTTTGATGTAGGACTTGTGACTGAATTCTCGCAGTAAACAATGAAACTAGAAACAGAATTTAGACGAAATTCATCAATAAATTTGATCAGCACCTGGTCGATTATATATTCAGTGCAGTGAAAAAGATCGAACGGTAATCCTAACATGTATCAAAAGAAAGCCAACTATGATAGAGAAGCATCTGCTATCTATAAATAGGTATGCAGAGCTAAGAACAGCACACCTTTGTCAAACAGATGATGCTTTCGATATTCTGCACGATATTATACTGATCACAATTACCAGCAGAAAATGGTAGGCAAAATTCTTGTCAGAATTAACAAACTGGGATGTCTGAGGAAAAATAATGAAACAGATAGGACACTATTACAGAAGGAAAGAAATCGACAAAACACCAGAAAAAGGAAGTATCTAATTTAAAGGTTCTACTATAAAACATTGAAGTAACTGATATTATTGAAACTTTAGGTCTATACACAGCCATTCAAACAATAACATACTAATCTAATTACCTGGATAAAACACCGACCAACTGAGTAATTATGCTGTCAAACATAACCTCCACAAGAAACAAATTTCAACTGTACAGCATCATACGAAAACATCTCAAGTTCCCTAGCATGTAATATGTAACAGCATGATATTATCCGCAAATCATTCTATGGATAAACAATAACAGACCATATTAAGTCTCTCATGACGTCCCACGTAAGACCTAACTTAAAATCCCTAACTGGATCATTTTCGTTTTTCCAACAACCAACTTTTTGTACAGGTTCCCCACAACCGAAACTAGTGACATTTCATACCAAGGGCTTAAATAAACAAACGAAAGATTCCCTAGATAAACATA